TTGAATTTTTGGGTTATCATTGGTGTTTGTTGTTGGGTGTTGACAGGAGGTACATCAGAAATGGCGACGGGGCCGACGAGCTCTCCTGAGGCGTTGAGGGGGAGCCAGCCATCGATTGTTGATGAGGGGTTGGTGGGAGGGGGGAGTGATAGCCTTGCTCGTTTGGTTGGTGGTTGGGTGAGTGATGTTGTGCGTGTGCGTCCCAGGGAAGGGTCCTGCCTAGGGGTTTCGCTTTCTGATGGTTTGGAGCTGATTTTGTCCGGACTGTTGTCGTTGCTGGGCAGGGATGCCGCCCTCTCCAGTAAGGCTACATAACCGTGAATTTCATCATGTTTTCCTCCACCGCCGGCCAGGATCAAGGCAAGATCCAAGGTTTTGACCATATCATTGAGAAGTTCCTCCTCTCGCTCCCGTTTTTGTTGCTGTTGCTCTGGCCCCTGTTGGCCGTCTTCTTGCTCATTCCGTCGTTGCCATTCCTGCAGTCTCTCCCGAATTCGACTGCTCGCCTCCCGGCTCCGCCGAACATGCACACCTCCTACTTCCGTCCGCATGGAGAGCTGCATTAGCTGATGCCACACTGCCGAACCCAGGTTCCGTGGCGGTGTTCCCTTTGGCTGCTTCTCAAAACGTGCCTTCATCTCATGAACTTCCTCCCTTCGCGCCGGAGTGTCAAGCTCAAAGTCCTCCCACTCCATTTTGTCCCAAACCCTTTTCCGGATCAGTTCCGGCTGCCGACTCCGCGCCCACTCAAACACCAGAACCCAGAACTTGAGGATAGCAGCCTCGGTATACAGAAGCCTCCAACATGGCGGCAGGTCTTTATACAAGTAAGCATAAAACTTATTGTAGGACGCGGATAGGATGTCGTCCAACCGTCGTTTGATCAGGTCGTGGTCGGGTGTTGCCATGCTCATCAACCGAGCCTGTCGTACCAGTAGCTCGACGAGAGGCTCTCCGCATCCTTCTAAAATGGGAGCGGATTCCTCATAGTGGGAGTAATAACGGGAAATGAAGCTGCTGCCATGATCGAGCAGTTTTCTCAACGGGTCATCAGTCTCTTCCTTCTCCATCCCAGCATCAAGTCGACTCCCAAATTGTGGTGTGAAGGGTGATTGTTGTATAGGGAATAAGTTGAATACCTAGATACCTATGAAAGCCTGTCGTGAGAGGGTGGTGAATACTGGACAGTGGGACAACCCCATCTGCACTGTCCTGGTAGCGCACGCGCACTTACAAACACTACCAATTAGGTACACAGTAGATCTCACTGTCCGTCCCTGGCACATCTTCACTCAAAAACCCTCAATATTCTCTCCTCTCTCTTGCTAACAAACTCCCCATCTCTTCCAACACAAAAACTTAAATTCCCAACATCTGCACCACATCAGAACTGCCTAGGTCCGATGGTGTAGTTGGCTATCACGTCAGTCTAACACGCTGAAGGTCTCCAGTTGGAGCCTGGATCAGATCACGCGCATACCTCAACATACTCATCCTCAGATACCATGAGGTGCGGTATCGTTTTGCTCCATTTACATTTACTAGCAGTGAAGTTTGGTCGTCTTCTTGTTTGAAGGGATAGCAGTGTAGAATGCCGGTTGGACATGGAAAGAAGTACACATTTACGCAGCCTGTCCTAGATGAGATGCTCCAATGACCATGAAATAGGGCTACACAGCGTCTACGATATCGGCACATAAACAAAAAAGACTCAGTAACAGTAACACCACAGCATGTCCAGTACTTCCCGCCGTACAACCCTCTGTGATAACCTACCCCCAGTGTCACCACTTTGCGAAGGCAGCATTCCCTACAAACACCTACCTGACATTTTCACATCTCCCCGATCGACATCTGCACCTCTTTCCACATCATATTCAAGGCCCAGATCACCCCTGTAACTGGTTCCCATCCAGACGTACATTTGCTACACCTGTCGAGTGATTCCACACTTTTCAAGCCGTGACTGCGACCTATGCCCCTCCTATTCGAGCCGCCATTCCTATTCGAGCCGCCATTCCTACCTCGGTACAGAGTTCCCATTCGAGCAGTCACGACTGGGATCAAATCCTACAAGTCCCCAAAAAGTCGAGTGTACAGTCATAAAGTGATGCTTCATCCTATTATTATTTCTACAGCATCTCAACCTAACAGGTCAAAATACGAGAGCACCCCAGTGAACTTCACCGCTTGTATGATGTGTCTGTCCCGCTATGATAACTGACAGTTTATATATCTCTCCCCCTCCCTCTCCAAAACGGCGAGTTTCTCCGCAAAGCAGCAGCGTTGCAGGCGCTTGGCGTCTTCAACCCCCCGCGCTGTCACTTCCCCCCTATAGCTGGGAAGGAGGAAGCGGGCGGGCCAGAGACAAGCTTGCATCTGCATGCCCCAAACAGCTCGATTGACTTGTCTTCGGCGAATCGTTGGAGTCGTGCATGCCGTCTCTTATCTCGGCAACTTTCCCAACCCGCCATATTGCCAGATGTACCTCCCATTGGCCAGGGCCCTAGAGGTTCTTCAAGTCTTTGGAATCTTCGTCAATAGTTCGTGTAGCATTGCCCCTTCGAGAAATCCCTCTCGATATTAGTTTTGGGGGCGCAGCCGGGTAGGTGCTGGATCTCGATTGCTCGAGCTTTGATAGCCGGCAAGAGATTGGCCTCCGTCATACTGGTGGTTTCTGCGCCCAGACAAAGTGGATGGGGACATATGCGTGAATTCGCCTATTTCCCACGGCGTTCTTGACCCCGACGACAAGCTCCTCAATGTCGGCCTTGTCGAATCCCGCCTCCACCAGCGGACGGGCCGCCATGGCGGCGACAAAGTCGAGAAAGACTTCTTGGAAGCAGCCACCCAGCATTCGGAGATGCCGATCCTTGGGCCATTCACCCAGCGGCATGTGGAATACCTTCCGCTGCACGTTGACGTAGCCGAGCCGCTGTAGGTGGTCGGGAAGGCTCTCCAGCACCTTGAGGTCGAAGCCGTACTGGTCCTTGAGAACGCCTTGAAGCAGCGAGTAAAACTTGGCGGGCGGGTAGTCTTCGGGCAGTGTGTTGTCGTCTGACGATATCCGGGGGTAAACATCCTGGATTTCCACCCAGCCGCCCGGCCTGAGATTCCTTGTACTGGCTCGTCAGCATTTCGTGACCCCGTCAAGAAAAACCATCACAATACCTACTGGAGAATGTTGTGAAGCACAAGTTCATTGTTCTTCAACACCGTGTTGACGAACCGAAAGTGCGCGAAATCGTAATCCTGATCGTGCACCCACTCGTCTTCAATGTCATCCACGATGAACTCGACATTAGAGGGAACCCATAGTGGCTGAATCGGCGATAAGTCGACTCCTGTAACTTTGGCACCGGTAAAAAGCTCGCCCACTGCGACGTGACGTTAGCCCGAACCCCTCCAAAGGAATTTCTCCAAACATACTCTCCATGGCCCATTCTCCAAACCCCGTGCCAAGATCGATGATCTTTTGCGGGTTATCTCCGATGGGCGCAAGGTAGAGCTTGCCCCTCAGGAGCTCCTTCAGCATGGCATGTCGTAGAGACTCTCTCTTGTACTCCTCGTCGTCGTTGGGTAAGGGGTACCGGCCATATCGAAAAGCATGGTATCGTCTGCCGTACTCCCACACATGACCCGTGACGCTCGACGTCAGGGAGCCAAAGGTGGTCTCGGTATCGCTTGGGTCATAATCTGATGTCACCTCTCTCCCAAACTCCTCATCAGGCAGTGGTTCTATGACCCCGTTTTCCTCCATTCCAGTACCAGAAGTGCCTGCCGCCTGCATTCAGGTTCGGGCTCGGGGATGGTCTCCAGAGACTTGTTCGATCAGGGAAGAATTTTGAGGCGCAAGTGGACTGGCCAAGAGCATATTTCGTGACCGTTTTTTTTTCTGGGGAAGCGGAACTTGCAAGGGGAATTCGGGAAGTGGATATCGTAGGTTTGACAGCGAGCAATGTGTGAAATGATAGCGTCTAGAGGCAGCTGACTCTCTCTTGAGAAGTCAAAAGAAGCGTGCCATTGCTCAATGGACGAGCAGACAGGTAGCTAGGAGGAGAAGAAGCAGGAGCAGGAGAGGAGCATGATAAAGACGTCAGGAGAAAAAGAGAGAACGCCGGGAGGAGAAGACAAGGCCGGGGCACTCGGGGCAAAAATGGCCAGTCATGGCTGGCAGCCAAGAGAAGCGAGGCCGACGGACCAAGCAGCTAAAAATGAGATGTACATGTTGACGGAAGGGACACAGAGGCGGACAGCTCGAGGGAAGGACCAAGGACGGGATCCAGGAAATATTTCCAGACCTTTGCCATTCGCCAGGCTGTTGTACCAGTGGTACCGGCGTGAAGCGTAAAAGGTACCTCTCACCCTCTCTCACCCACAGTTGAAATGATCCAATCCGTGGTGAGGGTGGAGGCCGTGAAGCGGTGGGTTGTGTGGGTTTCTGTGGGTTCTGGGCGGTGCCGAGTGGGACAGGGGCCAATCAAGGGCGGCCATGAGGTGTCCTGGCAGATGGCGGCATGTGCTTGCATGAGAAGAACGCCATGGCTGCATCTCGACCATTTGCTGGAAATGCCGCTGGACGGCACACGCAGCTGGCAGCACCCAGCTCTCCGGAAGGGAAGCAGTGTCCCGTTGGCTTTCTGCTCAGCATCCAGCATGAGCCATCCCAGCCGTCTGGAGACATGGGGCGGGGAAGGGGGGGAAGCTCGTCCGAAGTGTCGGGACTTGACTTGTAGGTTGAGTTCCAAGGCGCCGGTAACACCCCAATTTCCAAATTCTCGATCAGCGACAGCTCCTACAGTACCAGAAAAATAAATTCTCCCATTGGGGCAAGCGCGTGCTTGTTGTCTTAGATGCCACGACAAGTGACCAGAGAGTGGTGTAAAGGTGTCACGGTGTGTCCCAGCTCCCCATCATGTGGGATAGCGGGACTGAGGGAGCAGCAATGAAACCTCACGCCCACTCACTCGACGCCCCGAACCGATCCGATGGGCGGAAGATGCCATGTGTCGTATATCGTCTAAGAGGAAAAGAAGCGGTCAGTGGTTCATGAAACAAACAAGGAGGTCACCCCAATGGCTGCGCTGCTTGCTGCTCTGCTTGCTGCTCTGCTTGCTGCTCTGCTTGCTGCTCTGCTTGCTACTGAGGTTGGGAGAGGAACACTTGGCGTTGCAAGGGGGCTGTCACAAGTACAGTAGAGCGAGCGGGGCATGGGCCAGCTGGCAGTGAGAGGTGGTGTGGTATCGGCGAGAGGGGTGGTGTGGAAGGTGAGAGGTGAGAGGTGAGGGATGTTAGCGGCAGGCAATTATCAGCTGGTCCGTGCGCATTTGGAGTTGCACAAGCCTTTTTTGCTGACGAGATGGAAGCACAGTCCACCTCATAAAATTAGTACTGTGTGTCCCGCGGTGCAAGTCGCGTCCTGGGGGGTTGTCGAAGCGCGTCTTGCAGAGTCTCGGCCTCGATAAACAGCGCTCCACTTATATTCCAATTAATGGGCAACCAACACCAACACCAATACCAACACCACCGATACACGCCTGCTTGTTTGTCTGTTGTCTGTTGCAAGATTTCAGCAGAGCCAGAGCGTTGCTGCCGTTTATTGTACCAAGTCTGAAGTCGCTTTCGAATTCTTATTCTTACTACTATCATACTCACCTAATCTCTCTCGCCCTGAAGGTCCACAATCTCTTCGATCGCGCCCTTCCCTCGCCCGCGGGGCACTGCGCGGTCGATTTTATAGCGGACGAAATCTGGGTATAATCAACCAACCAAGGGACAACAATCTCGCGTTCTCTCCTAGAGGCTCCCCGTCAGCAATTTCTCCGTCGCCGAGCAAAATTAGCAGCGCGTTACCTTTTCTTCCTTCGCCATGTATCTTCCTAGGGAACTCATATCGAAGTTATATCTGCATCTGCAGGCCACTCGACACCCCCTCTCACCACCTGTTCTCGTGCTTGTAGCCCTCGAACCCGATGCGCTCTGCGCCTGCCGAATTCTCACGCGTCTCTTCAAACATGACTATATCCCGCACAAGATCCAGCCTGTGGCAGGCTATGCCGACCTGGAGCGCATTGGACAAGAGCTCGTCAGTCCCATGATGGAAACGAGGGGCGGTGCCGGTGGAGTGGTGGTATGCTTGGGTGTTGGTGGTATGGCTGATCTGGGAAGTGCCTTGGGCTTGGAACCCGAAGGGGAAGAAAACACGTTTGGTGGTGTTGAGGTTTGGGTGGCCGATTCTCATAGGCCTTGGAACCTGTCCAATGTCTTTGGTGGCTTTCCATTAGAACCCGAGACGGAGGATGCGACGACATTTTCAGCCAGGACCCCGCGTGGGGTCAAGGCTGGCCAAATCGAACATAACTACAAGCCGGGCAAGGGAGGAATCATTGTCATGGACGATGGTGATATTGAGGAACACTTGGTCAAGGAGAAGGGCGCCTATCTTGCTCTGCTGGACATGCCGGAAATTGAGGATGACGGGGAGGATCTTGGAGGAAGCAGTGACGAGGAAAGCGAGGTCGGCGAGCTACCAAGCTCAGCGGTGCCTCGAGCTGGTCAGAAGCGAAAATCCTGGGACTTTGAGGACGACAGCGACGAGGATGATGATGATAGACCAAGGCAAAAACGGAGGAGTAATTCCGTATGTCTTTTCTGTGGGTATTAGTAAAGCCCAAATGCTAACATGATACAGTCGACTCCTATTCCAGACTCCCCCCGACGGCCAGCACAACGAGGACTCATATCACTCCGAGACGACGGGCCGGTCTTTAGCAGCGACCCAGCAGATCCGCCCACCGCGGCCCAGCCGATAAAAGGACCGTCCGCAAGGACACTTCGGCGAAGGCTGCTGCGGTTACGGCGCGAAAACGAGACGATCCTCAGAGATTACTACCGACTCGGTACCGCCTACTCGGAACCCATCTCCTCCATGATGTACTCTCTGGCCTCAGAACTCGGTCGTGAAGACAACGACCTCCTCTGGCTCACCATTGTCGGAGTCACCTCTATGGAACTCTACGGCCGCTCCTCAGCCGGCATCGCAGCCCCAGTCCGCACCGGCGAAGCCCGCCCAGCCTCTGGCTGGCTAGGCATGCGCGGTGCCAGGATACGACAGCTCCTGCGCGACGAAGTCCGTCGTCTGAACCCCCCAGAAATTGGCCGGGGAGCCGTCCCGGAGAACAGTGGCATCATTCCCACCACGGCCCGAAGTCCAGACGACACCAGCATCCGTCTGTCGCCCGAGCCGAAGTTCCTGTTGATTCGTCACTGGAGCCTGTACGATAGCATGCTCCACTCGCCGTATCTCTTCTCACGGCTGAAGACCTGGAGCGAGACTGGCTTGAAGCGTCTGCATAAGCTCCTCGCCAAGATGGGGGTCAGTCTGGTGCAGTGTAAGCAATCGTACACTCACATGGACATGACGCTGAAGCGGGAGCTCCGGTCGAAGCTCCTCAAGTATGCCTCCCTCTACAACCTCGACGAACTAGTCCCCACTATCGATACGGACGGGAAAGACCGCGGCGGCGCGAAGGACTCCTGGGGTTTCGTCAGGAGCTGGGGGTGGCGTGCCACGCTCTCGGCGCAAGACGTCGGTGTTGTCATTGGCGCCCTTTTGGAAGTAGGTCAGAACAGCCCCGAGGCTTCTTCCAGCAACAATGACGGTCCGTCGCAAGATTTAATGGAGATGTCGACTGCCACGGCCCCCTCGGAGGAATGGCTGCCACGTTTCTGGGCTGCTTACGACGCTCTCGAGGATATTGAGTCGCTGAAGGCTGGCTTGCCAACGGCCCAATTCCTTCACAAAGCCATCTTTACCACCGGGACGACGATTCTCAAAAAGAAGCAAATCTCGCACTTGCGCGCGTTTCGGATGTGCGTGGTGAAGGACTCGCCGGATAGCCAGCTGTTTAACCACCCGGGTGCGTTGACAAAACTGGCGTTGTGGATTGGGGAGGCGCTGGCGGAGCAAGAAAAGGATGCCACGGGGAGGCTGGCGTTGGGCGGCAGGGGAACGCCGCTTGTTGTGGCTAGTCTGGATGAGAAGCGCGGGGTGTATGTTGTTGTTGGGACGGGAGGGGGTGGTGGTCCGGATACGATTTTTTTGGATAAGGAGGCGCAGAAGAAGAAGGTGAAGGAAAGGGAGGAGAAGGCTAGGGTTAGGGAAGAGGCGAGGAAGGTTAAGGAGAGGATGAGGGAGGAGAAGAAGGCGGCGAAGAGGAGGGAGAGGGAGCAGAGGAGAAAGCAGGGGGGGGAAGATGAAGAGGAGGATGATGATGGGTCGGAGTTGGACAGTGAAGAGGATGATGAGGACAGTGAGGATGAGGATGAGGATGATGGTGAGGATGAGGAGGATGAGACGAGGGAGAGGGGGTATGGGCTCAATAGATTTGGGACGGCGTTTCAGGATGTAGTGGCTGAGACGAATGCGAGGGTGAGGATTGATAGTTTTGAGCATTGTGTGGTGGAGGTGAAGAAGGAGGATTTGAGTGGGTTTTTGGAGAGTTTGAGTATGAAGGCTGTGGTGGGTTAGAGGGAACAAAAAGGAAGGGATGAATGGGAGGTGTTATCATCATAGGGGCGGTAGCGTGTGTTGTTTTTGTTAACCTATAGAAGGCAGGCAGGCAGGCATTTTTCTTTCTTTCTTTTTTTTTGGTTGTTGGTTTTGTTGTTGTTGGTGTTGTTGTTGTTGTTGTTGTTATTCAAAGTTTGTATTTACACTTGCCCCGTTTTATCCCCCCTTTCTTAACATTTTTTTTTCTTTTATTCCCCCCCTTGGCAGACAACACACATACAACATAAAAGAGGGGGTTGGGATTGGGAGGTGGGTGGATGGATGATAGGGAACCAAAAAAGAGATGGGAAATATTGGGGAAATCGTGTAGGGAAGGAAAGGAGCATGTTGAAATGGTTGACTAGGTTCTCTTGTGCATAGCAGGCTCTTTTCTAGCTTTTGTTGTTGTTGAATGTTATCATCACTGTTCAATAAGCATTTCTTTCATTTTGGAACAATGGCTTCATGTAGAGGTGCTATGTCATACTACTAGGATGGTGTATGTGTGTGTGTCGGCAGGGTCAGCTGCCAGGAACACAGGGTCGGCATCGGTCGGTCTCGGCCATCCACCCCTAGCTACCAAGGGGCACCGGATGCGATGCCGATCCGGGCCGCTCCGTACGCAGGCCACTGTTCCCATCAAGACCGAGCACCCCTCGCTTGCTTATGGTTTTGTATACCGAGCGCCGACATGTGTACGTACACAGCTACGTCAGAGTGAGTGGTACCTGGGTGAGATTGCTAGAGTCAAGCTTTTTTTCAGGGGTTCGATTATGACGAGAGGCCTGCCTGAACTGAGAAGGTAAAAAGAGTTTGGCTCCCTAGTTTATGGTTTCTGGCTCTTGCGCGGCGGCATAGATAGTTTGAGGAGGGGGGAACATGGCGGTTTATCGAGTGGTGGTTGGGGGTTCCTTGGCGGGTTTGCACTGCCCCCCTTAGGTAAGCAAATCACCCCTCTCTCGAAAAAGGAACGGTGAGAAGGGTTGTGGTTCTAGACTGTGCGGGATTGTGGAAGAGACGGTGATGAAGATGATGGGAGGAGGCTCTCGATTGATTTGAGGGAGCTGAGGTGGCCTGTTATCAAACATGGAGGCTGAGGAAGGGAGAAGTCAAACTAGATAAGAAGGGCCTGTTGTTGCTGCGCCCAGTAGAGAGACCAAGAGCTGCCTGGCCGTTGTGGTCTACCGCCTGTCTGTGCAACAAACACGGAGAGGACATGGTTGGCCTCCCTGACAGTTTTATGTGTTTCTCGAAGGTTCATACCTACTCTTTTGCAGCTTGTTTGGTGGTGTTTGGTACTGTGCCCCTCAATTACCGGAAGGGAGGGGCAATCTCTCACAAATGTACCTATGCTGCCTCACAGTGTGCTTCTGACGTAGGTAAGGTCAAAACAGCACGCCATATCGAGGTTGCCCATGTGATGAAGAATGGAAAAGGGGGCGGAGCAGATTCATGGTATGCAGCAAAGCTGACAAGATTCAGACTATAGGCAGGCACAAGGTAAGGCAAGGCAAAGCGAAGCACCCATGGTGTAACAGCGAGAGCCCAAGAGTAAGTTGTCCGTACAGTGCAAGTGACCGTGCGCCAAACCACCATACTTCAGGGCGGGAGCGGGCAACGGCCCCCCCCCTCCAAGCCCAAGCCCAAGCCCAGGAAAGAGGACTGGACTGGACTGCCGCAGTAGTCGTCACTTTCCCGCCGCGGCCGCCTTCGCCTCGCCTTTTGCTTTGGCTTTTGCTCCAATCTGTTTTCCCTTCCCCGAGACTCCGTCTTCAAGCCATAACCCATTTTGCAAAATCCTCCTCTCCGTTTTCGCAAAGCAGACTTGCCTTTTTCTTGTCATTGCTGTTTCTTGAACTGGCTTACAAACTGAACCCCCCGCTTCGCATTGCCCGCACTGTCCACCCACCAGCACTGCCGCCAGACGAACCCATCGCCCGATTGAGCAATTGAGCTGCCCACTTGTTCGACCTAGACAAGAGACTGTCGCAAACCCCTCCTTCGATTTGGTTTCCTGTCGGCGATAACCAGCGCGGCATCTTCGATACTCTCTCGTCGATTGGCGATTTCGAATAGTCTCTAACCGCGAATATGGGCAACTTGTGAGTGTTTTTCCTCGTTGGAGTTTGGGCGCTGGGAGGAGGGAGCAATAGTCAATGGCGGAGAGGAGGGGAGGAGAGGAGAATATTCCCTTCAATCGGGAATCATAAGACTCAAAAGTCATGACATGGGCTAACATGGGGCGCTCGAAATACAGGCAGTCCAAGAAGCTCCCTGACGATCAGCTGAAGGAGCTCCAGAAGTCAACCAATTTTGACAAGAAGGAGTTGCAGCAATGGTATAGAGGTAGGTCTTCTTCTTCTCCCTCCTCCACTCTTCTCTTCCTGTAGTTGGTTCTCTTCTCACAAGACGAAATAGGTTTCCTCAAGGACTGCCCGAGCGGCATGCTGAGCAAGGGCGAATTCCAAAAGATCTACGCCCAGTTCTTCCCCTTTGGTGACCCAAGCACATTCGCCGACTACGTCTTCAACGTATTCGACACGGACAAGTCAGGAACTATTGATTTCAAAGAATTCATTTGTGCTCTGAGTGTTACCAGCCGGGGTAAGATGGAGGACAAGCTGGATTGGGCGTTCCAACTGTACGATATCGACGGCGATGGAAAGATCAGCTACGACGAGATGTTGAAGATTGTGGAGGCGATTTACAAGATGGTATGTTTTGATTTGGTGCATGAGGAAAACACACGGAGAGGCTAACAGAGGCGAACTTAGGTCGGGTCCATGGTTAAGCTCCCAGAAGACGAAGACACCCCCGAGAAGCGCGTCCGCAAAATCTTTAGGATGATGGACAAGGATGAGAACGGCAGCCTTGATATGAACGAATTCAAGGAAGGCTCGCAGCGGGATGCCACCATTGTGTCGGCGCTGTCGCTCTACGACGGGTTGGTGTAACTTTTCCTTGCGGCAGACTCTGGGGGGAAGGAATTCTGCGTCTAGGCGGGCTTGTTCGCTTACTGGTCTTGACACCATACCACTTGCAGCGATGACCTGGATGAGAGCCAATACGCCAGTCCGTTCCCCAACTAGCCTGTCTGTGTTCCTCGGGGACCCATGGAGTGATGGGAGTGAAGATAGGAGGTTGGGAGGGGGGGGGCAGCGGTGATGGATCGTTTGCAGGAGATATATGGAAGAGGATGTGTTTTTGCGCATTTAGGACTGTTAGGCAACTATGGATGTGGTGAAAACAGGGAAGACAGTGAAAGAAAGAGGGGATCAGCGATGTTTTTTCTTGTTATCTCTGCTTTTGTGCCGGTTTCTGTTTGGGAATAATGGCAGCAGTCCCTGGGTATTATTTTAGTGTTGGCTGTTTCTGTCGTTATTATGTGCAGGGCGTCTTGTACTGTATTTATGTATCTGGTTTCTATGCTACTCATCTTGAAGATATGGTGCTGTGTTTTCCAAGTGACTAGGAAGTGAAGACTTCTGAGTCTAAGTCTCGAAGTCTACATGAAGTATATGCATGATGAGGAATCATCGGGTAGTCTATCTAGGTCCTTCTCGTTGCATCGGCTTTGGTGGTGAAACAAGTCTGAGCTGCCTTGCTCGCTAATATTGCATGTATGGAATCCAATGAGGGAAACAAGGGAGAGTATGATATGTTCTGTGCCAAGTTGCAAAGTGAGCGATATAGTCCCACCATCCGCACTTAGCGTCCAACAAAATCGGAGACCACACACGATTTTCGTAATCGGGTATGGTGTAGCGGTAACATCGTTGACTCTCACTTCCCAGAAGTGTCTGTTTCTCTCAACAGCCCCGGGTTCGACTCCCGGTATCCGAGTCTCTTTTTTTTCTCTCTGTTTTCTACCATTTCTTTGCTTGACTGCGGGTTGTTACATAAGAGGTTGTCAGGGACGTCAAGTCAAGGTTGGGCAGGGATTCGCTGTGTTGGGGGTCAAGGGACGGTAGCTTATTTTTTTTTGTTTGTGCTGGGATCTTAAAAGTTAGGTAGATGAATTTTCTTATGTTTAATCGCTGTGGGAGCTGCCTTACTACAAGCCTATGTCGAGAGGACTGCTAGGTTCATCATGAAAGTCCCTAGTGAGATATTGACAATCACATGGAAGCAACCAGCGCCCAAACAGGGGTTTGTAGAAGCCAATTGCGCTCCAATCAGCTTCCTCCCAGTGATCCAAAACGGCATAGGGGCCGCCCGGTGGGCCCTGTTTGTTTGCTTGCGCTCGAGCTGACAGCGAGCGCCGTTGGGATTCAACGTGAGACGTCATTTTGGAGATCTGGCTTATTTCCCTTTTTGCCATTTTCCCCTTCGAAAATAATTTCCTTTTCGCGACTCGCCCCAACGAACGAACGAACGCAGCAAACCACTCTCGCTTTCCTTCGCGCTCACGGCCATGAGCGCCACTGTTTCAGTTCACGACAACGACTCGCAACCATGACGACCTCCACCTCACGTTCCCCATCCCGATTACCCCCCCCCTCCTCCTCCTCCCTCTCCCGAACCGAAACCCTCTCTCTCTTCTCCCTTACCTTCGCCTGCGTCGCGGTACTGGCGAATACCTTCCAAGGCGATGGCGAACCTCTAATCGCCTCCCTCGCCCTCAGCGGGGTCGCCTTCGCGGCGTCGTTTGCGATGATAAGGTGGTTAGGCCCGACACTGATGAAGGCTGGGCTGAAGGGGACAGACATGAGCAAGCATAATAGACGGGAAATGCCAGAGTGCATGGGGGGGATCGCGGCGGTGGTGTACCTGCTGGTGATTATTGTCTTCATCCCGTTTCCGTTTTACAAGGACATTGTGGCGGCGACGAGCGGGGGGGGCAATAGGGATGTTGTTGTTAGTGTCGTGGAGGGGGTGGAGAGGGGGAGGTTGCTGCATAAGTTTCCGCACAGCAAGGTGAGTTTGGGAACAACATATGGGAAAGGGGATAAAGACTGACTGGGGGGGGTGGGGGTGGGGGGAAATAGTTGGCGTCGTATTTGTCGGCGATTATATCGCTTCAGTCGATCACGTTGTTGGGGATAGGAGATGATCTTTTCGACATACGGTGGCGACACAAGTTTTTCATTCCGGCTTTTGCGTCGATACCGCTGTTGGTGGTTTACTTTGTCGACTTTGGCGTCACGTCGATCGTGGTGCCGATTCCGCTGCAGCCGTACCTGGGGGAGCTGGTGAATGTCGGGGTGTTGTACTATGTCTACATGGCGAGCGTGGCGATTTTTAGCCCGAACAGTATTAACATTCTGGCGGGGATCAACGGGATTGAGGTGGCGCAGTCGATTGTCGTTGCGGTGTTGCTGGCGATCAATGATTGCTTGTACTTGCTCACGCCGTACCCCCACCCGGCGACGGACTCGCATTTGTTTTCGCTGTACTTTTTGCTGCCGTTTTTGGGGGTTTCCGGGGCGCTGCTGTGGCATAATTGGTATCCGGCGAGGGTGTTTGTGGGGGATACGTATTGTTATTTTGCGGGCATGGTGTTTGTGGTGGTGAGCATTCTGGGGCATTTCAGCAAGACGTTGATCTTGCTGCTGGTGCCGCAGATATTCAACTTTTGCTATTCGGTGCCGCAGTTGTTTGGGCTGGTGCCGTGTCCGAGGCACAGGCTGCCCAGGTTTAATGCGAGAACGGGGTTGCTGGAGCCGAGCGTCACGCCTTGGACGAGGGAGAGGCAGCCGAGGGGGGTGGTTGCGTGGGGGTTGAAGGTGTTGGGGGGGTTGAGGTTGTTGGGGGTTACGGTGGATGAGGAGGGGAGGTTTGTCGAGACGACGAACTTTACGATTTTGAATCTTTGGCTTGTGTGGAGGGGGCCGTTGAGGGAGGATAGGTTGGCGATGGAGATTACGGGGATGCAGATGGTGATGGGGTTGTTCGGGTTGTTTGTTAGGCATGGGCTGGCTCAGTTGTTGTTCAAGGAGGATAATTGGAGCATTGGGGCAGCAGGAGTTTAGTTTTTTTGTGTATATATTTGTTGAAATATACTAGAACAAAAGCAACAGCAAATGGCATAGACAAAATCATGGCATTCTAGATTTATCCATGTCTTCTTACACCTAATTGATCAACCCCCCTACTTGAAAGTCAATTTCGGCATGTGAGAGCGAGCGGGCCCCTGCAGGGAGCTTGGACCCAGGGGTCTTGGAGTGGGAATTCCCGACGTCAGTTGTTGGAGCCTGTCACCCACCTATCACCTACCCCAAAGCAAAAGCCAGACAAAGGCAGGGCAGCCCAGCCCTTTCCGACAGGCGGGAGAGTCACACACCAGCTGCTGTTTTTGCAACACAATATCACAAACACAGCGCCATGTCAGCAAAACTAGCCGCCTTCCTCAACGAGGCGCCCCTCGCCGACGACCAGCTCACCTTTGAGCCCATCCTCAAGCACGGCCACCAGGACCTCGTCCAGTCGATCGCGTTTAACGAGTATGGCGACCGGTGCGCGACAGGGTCGGTAGACGGCAAGGTCCGCGTGTTCAACCGGCACAGGGACGGGGTGTGGCGGCACTGTGACAACTGGACTGCCCACGGGGGGGAGATTACCGAGCTGCAGTGGTTGCCGCCGACGATTTACCCCAACCTGTTGGCTTCGTTGGGGGTGGAGGGGAGGTTTAAGCTTTGGTCCGATGTACCCGGGGTGCGCCGGGGAGGAGGTTTTCGAATGCCATGGGCGAAGGGGGTACAGGGGGATGGCGTTATGGAGTCAACCTATTGCGGTGGGGGAAAAGAGCGGTGGGGTTGAAATTGAGGGGTCGAAGGCCGGGGAGTGGTGGTCTTGGTAGTCATGGGCCTCATCATCTTGGGGGGGTTGCGAGTGCCTTGTCGACCACTGCCACGAGCGCGACTTCTCATCCGCACTCGGCGGTGACGAGCGCGGTGGGCACGCCGTCGGTGCAGAGCGAGACTGCGCCTTCGCAACAACCGCCACAGGCTTCGAGTTCGGCGGTGCCGAAGCCGGTTTTCGAGACGAGGAACTCGAGGAGTCCGTATCGGTCTTTTAGCATGAAGCATGTTGACTCGACGAGGCATACTTACCTTGCGCTGGTGAGCGCGGATGGGAAGTTGACGGTGTACGAGAATGAGCAGCCGGAGAATTTGACGGATTATACTATGCTTGACGAGGTGGCTATCTCGCGGGACCAGCCGCCTGCGAAAAGGGGGGATGAGACGACGTTCAAGGTGCAGTTTGATCCCAACCCGGAGGTGTGCTACAGCGCGTTGAAGGCGGGGGTCCCGCCCGACACGCTGAGCTTGGTCACGGTTGCGTTGGACTGTGTGAGGATTTATCGGTCGAGGGATGTGATTAGTCAGAGTTTGGGGGTGCAGACGGTGACGAAGGGGTTTTATCTCGCGGCCGAGGTGAGGTCGGATGTGCATAGGGGTTTGGTGAGGGATGTGGCGTGGGCGGGGGGGAATATTAGGGGGTATGATGTTATTGCGACGGCGTGTCAGGATGGGATGGTGAGGGTCTTTAGGGTTGACACGCCGGTGGAGAGGCAGGCTTGGTATGATAAGGAGGAGAAGGAGGAGAAGGAGGATGGGGCGAGGGGGTGGTCGATGAGGGAGATGGAGGGGTATGTTGAGAAGGCGAGGAAGCAAGGGGTGGAGGTGGATGAGGGGAGGAGCGCGGCGGTCAGGGCGGCGGCGAGAGATGTGGTTACTGTTGTTGGGGGGATTACACCTGTGGTTCATGGGGTTGGAACAGCCCATGATGAGAGGGGGACGGGGATGGGGCAGGGGGGCATGATTCGAGCGGGACTGGCGACGGAGGCTGGGTATGGGGGGGATCATCATCATGGGCATGGGGGGGCGAATAAGAACCCGCAGAGAATGATCACTGGGTTGCCGGGGCAGATTAGGCATACGATTGAGATGGTGTCGAGGCTGGATGGGCATAGGACGCCGGTTTGGAGGGTTGGGTTTGATGATGACGGGGTTGTGTTGGGGAGTGTAGGCGACGAGGGAAGGCTGCTGCAGTGGAGGATGATGCCGAATGGGGAGTGGGCGAAGAGCAGCGAGTTGGGGATTGTAAGGGTTATGATGGCTACCGGTTGAACTTGAACAGCAGCGGGATCAGGCGGGAGTTTGGAATCTAGAGATGTGGTTGGGCATGTAAGAATAGTAGGACGGCGCGATATTGGCTGTTTTATTTTTGGCTGGTGTAATAAGTGTGTGCTCTGAGGGATATACCCTGGCTGTTTTGAGCGACTGTAGGAACAATGAAGCTGATTTGATATGTCTGACAACAGCCCTATGTTATGCTCTCTGTCAGGCTGGGGGCAGCTGGTAACAAAAAGGAATATACTATGTCCAAAAAGCTACTCCTATCCACAACAGAGTGGATAAGGGAAAACAAGAACATCAAAAGATTGTTTGTGTCTCGACGTGGGCCTGATTCGAACAGACGCTCCCGAAGGAACAAGATTTCTAGTCTTGCGCATTAGACCACTCTGCCACCACGCCTTGTTGGTTGATGGAGTGTAGGGTTTGGGTTTGAGGCTATTGTCGGATGCATTTCCGTGCATCCCGTCATAAGTCAGGACACAGGATTCTTTGATTGTGAATTTATATAAAAAAGACTTTTTTGCATTGTATTTCCAGAGGTGTTTGTTTATTATGGTCTCTCGGGTTTGTAATGTACAGTGAGATCCAATCCAACATGCGCTTGTGTTTTTCGGCTCTTGTGCAAGGGTTTGACAAAGAGCATACCTATGATGTTAAGGGGGGGAAAAAGGGCCGGAGCCCAACGCAAGACAAGATGAAGAGTGGCCTTGCCCACTGTTAAAAGACAACGTGTACGCTAGTGACGGGAGCTGAATAGCCCCGGTAAGATACCTATGTAAAAATCGTTGATTTTTGCAAAAGTCCTTGAAGAAACTTCCGTAGAGCCAGCCCAAGACCTGAAGGGCTTTTTTAGGTTGGCTACCTAGCTAGACATCTGTTGAAGATGGTGAAATAACTCTGGAGTTTTCATTGAGATTATTTTTTGGGGCTGCTGCCAGCAAAGAGTATACATCTTTCTCTCTGTGTTGAAATATCTCCGGGTTGAAGACTTGTGCTCTGATATAGCAGATTTTCAAGAACAAAGTATTTTGTATTTGTGAATATCAAGGTGCTTGGCGACAACAAAGACCTCATCTCTCTTTGCCCTTTCCAAGTCCTATTCATATCCCATCCCCACACCCTCTCCTCATCAAAATTGGACCATCCACGATTCAAATCGGGTATGGTGTAGCGGTAACATCGTTGACTCTCACTTCTCAGAAGTGTCTGTTCCCTCAACAGCCCCGGGTTCGACTCCCGGTATCCGAGTCCTTATTTTTACCCCCCGTCTTCCCAAAACCAACCCTGTTTGTATCAAACCTTTTCATCTTTTTTTTTGTTGTGGTCGACATACCTTGCAGGACAAGGGTGGCCGGTCTGAGACTGACTCGGGATACCATGGATAGGGGGTGTTGAGACTTTTTTGAGGGCTCCATAACTCCCCATTTGTCATAGGAGACAGGGGGACTTAAAACTTAAAAAAGAGGCTTGGGTTGGTAATCTTATCTGATTGATCTGGGTGGTGAATGCGGTATCGGCGGTGGTGTGGGAGGTTTGTAGAAGTAGCTAGGATAGGTTGAACGAAGCTGTGGATGATATGTGGTATGTGTGAGGGATAATTAGGATAGGTATTGCATCGAAAGGGAGGTTGTAGAGGGGAGATATTATTATATTCGTTGTGGCCTGAGTTGTTTCCATTCATCATGTACTAAGGGGTATATGCCTCCTTCAATATCCCAATATGAACCACAAACCCCGAGCTCGGCTTCAACCCATTTGGCAACAACTCATCAGGAGCTCTCCATGTGTGAAAAGACTCCATAAATCTCGCGAGCCATCCTTCAAACACTTGATCGTCCCTCAGCTGTTGCGCAACCACACAGATGGTGGGATCTGCCTCGGTGTCAGACTCTTGAGTTCTCAGCCGGCAGATATCAGCGCATGTAGACACAAGCGGGTCGATGAGCGCTTCGTTGTAGATGCAGTCACATGCAATGATAGCATCGAAGCTCTTTCTTCCTGCTGTGTCTGGCAGGTCGGTCAGAAGAGAGGGCGTCGCTTCGTCTGTTTCCCAATCCAAGGGAGTAAAGACGACATTGTTGTCTTTTGAGTGACTGGCCGCCGTCGCCTTTGTTTTCTTCCCTTTTGCCTTTCCTTTGCCAGTGGAGGAGGCTGAGATGTGAGAATTTTCGGCAACGTTTTGCTCAACAAACTTGGCGACATAAGGCTGATCGGTCAAGACGTAGCCCTTGACACGAGGCGCCAGGCACAGGCCGACCAGTGCTGAGATGCCACACCCTAGCTCCAACACGAGAGAGTTCGAGGACAGGATCTCAGACTGGAAAAGCAGAGATGATGCAGAGCTGATCCATTCTGCAAAGAGAGGTGTAACTTTCCAGACGACTATGCATACCGTCAGCAGTGCTCGTATCCTTCCATCCTAGACAAGCCACTGAGCAAGGCTGACGTTCGGATGTGACGTGTCCGTAGCCTTGTAAGCGTTATCAACGGCGGTGTGACGGCGGGAAAGGGGTCGGAAAGGGGCCGGGGGAGGAGTTGTTTACCAGCTCCTGTTGTGCCACCGGCACGGTTGGATGACAGCACGCCAGGTGACTGATGGATGGTAAGATCCCGGCCAGCGATGGTCAGTTCGACTGTGGAGGCCTTGGAGTCGACGAAGCCAAGATTCTGCGAGGGGAGCTCCTGGGCAAACAGCTCAAACGTCTCTAGTTGGCGGCAAAGTAGGCGTGTTAGTTGACAGACTATTCAGTCCGTGTCTACCCGACTATTGCACCCCCAGGTTGCATATCTGGTTTTCACTTCATCGTTTTTTATACCTTCCTCGGACGACTCTATGGGCTGCTGTCCCAGAGCTTGCAACAGCTTCTCCAACTTCATTATTCCAAACAGGTGGTTGGTGATTGGTGGCTGGTGGCTGAATTCCTGGTCTATCAGACGATAGGGAAAAGGGAAGACAAGACGAACGGTGACTTTGGCTGACAGGGCCGGTTCTGGGCGTTTTTAGTGCAATCTTAGAAAATGCGGAGGCGAAGAATAGTCTGGATTGGCGCGTCCGGGGCTTCCCACAAATTCAGTTCACTTCTTCATTGCATCATGCGCCGAGAGCAGCACACTGAAACCTAGAGAGTGTAGCAAATAGAGAGCCAGTGAAAGCGGCCGTGGTGATCCGACGACTCCATTCTGGCGATGCAGAGCAGCTGCCCAGCCCTGAAAGGAGGGGAAACCCGAGCTGGAACGTTCCGACGGGAAGCCCTCAGAGTTTTTGGTTGAGGGGTGGAGCAGAGCTATCGAGAAGTTGCTTGGGGAGATGGGGGGTCAGATGCGGGGAAGGATGCACCGACGCGGACCTCCAAGACTTGTGCCAAGAGCCATCTCCAGTGTTCAAGTCGACAGGACTCAAGTCGACCTGTCGAACCGTCCAGCATTGGCGCATAACTCGTGCGTGTGGTGTCGGGGCTGAGCTCTTGATCATCGGGAGATGTTGACAAGATCACGAGGGTGAGGTGTCAGCCAGTTCCAACAGACCGAGGCCCTCCTGTAAATATAGAGAGGCAGATACATATGCGCCTCGGCTTGGCTCTTCTCTTCATTTCTATTGTATGAAGCATGAAGCGGAAACGGAGGGTGATGGAGGTGAATCTGAACCCGCCTGCGATCCCCGAATCTGCCGCACAAACCACCGTGCTAACCAGCCTCTCTCCACCGTCCAGAAAGGGGTTATCCTTACTCGGAGTTTAGCTTTCTCGTCCTGTGTTGTTGATGGTGGGATGTGTGGGCATCGTCTGCTTTTTTCTTTTTTTTTTTGTAGTTTTACCTAGGCATCTTGTCTCCAAATACTCGCAGGAACCGGGTATGATCGGAGATGTGTCGATGGACGATGGACGGTGGCCATTTCGCCAAAGGTGCACACTGTGACCATGGCCTGGAAAGCTTTGAAATGTGGAACGCCCAGGCTGCCGAGCCTGCCAGGACGCGCCCTAGCCTCGCCCTTTGGCTAGAGCCCAGCCGAAAAAGGCAACCGGCAGGGGTCAGCAGGGTGGGCCCAGGGAGCGCAGGGGCCAGGGACAAACAATCGTGTGCCTCGCGTTGTTGAGGTGAAAGACTTCCCTGTCCTTCCTCTCCACCACAGCTTGTCAAAAACCCCTTGCCTCCCTGCCCTCTTTGTCTCCGTCTCTGTCTGTTTGTTCTGAATTCTTATTCTCCCTCCTCCGTCCCTAGTGCCCCATCCCCTCACCAGGTCGCCTGCCTCGTCCCCTCGCTGGATCGTTTCGACGGGCACTCCCTAAAGCACCCCGTGTACCATCCAAACCCTCAAAGGTTCAAACAAACTCGGAACAAAAAGAAAAGTTCTGCATCTCCCGTCTTTACCTTGAGCCAGCCACCGGCGTCCAGCGGGTTACTACTCCCCAGCTTCCCTAATCGCGTCCACCGACCGAATCTAATATCAAAATAATTCACAATGGCCAAGTCATCGACACCCATCCAGCTCATCCCACGCATGACGGCGAAGGGCCCCTTCACTGTTGAAGTTCCCGGCCAGACTCCCGTCGAGGGCGAGACGCCAGTTCGCAGACAACCGCTGGCTATCCCAGAATTCGTCGAGCGGCCTGCTCCCGATGTCACCACCGTCTATGAGCTTGTCCGCGCCGCTGTCGCCAAGTACGGCAATGCCAAGTGTGTGGGGTCCCGCAAGCTCGTCCGGACACACCAGGACAAGAAGAAGATCAAGAAGATTGTGGATGGTGTCGAGACCGAGGTGGAGAAGTCATGGACCTTCTTCGAGATGAGCCCCTATGAGTACTACAGCTACACCGAGTACGAGCAGTTGATTCTGCAGCTCGGCTCCGGCCTGCGCAAGATTGGCCTCGACAAGGCCGACCGCGTCCACATCTACGCTGCCACCAGCGCCAACTGGCTGGCGACGGCTCACGGTGCTGCCTCGCAGAGCATGCCCATCGTGACTGCTTATGACACTCTCGGCGAGGAAGGTCTCAGATACTCCATGGTCGCCACTAAGGCCAAGGCTATCTTCCTCGACCCCCATCTTCTGCCTACCTTGACCAACGTCTTGGCCGTTGCCTCGTCCGTTCAGGCTGTCATCTGGAACAGCCAGCACCAGGTCAACCAGGACCACGTGGACAAGCTCAAGGCTGCCTACCCTCACATCAACATTCTCAACTTTGACGAGCTCGTCAGGCTCGGCAAGGAGAACCCCGTTGAGCCCGTCCCTCCCACCGCCGAGGACCTCTGCTGCATCATGTACACCTCTGGCTCTACCGGTACCCCCAAGGGCGTACCCATCACCCACAGATCCGTTGTTGCTGCCGGTAAGCAAGCATCTTGAGCCCCAGTTCCCCTCTGCAGCCTGCTGATTTCTTGTGTTTTTCAGTTTCTGGTGCCAGCGCTATCGTCCAGCCTTATATCGGACCTGGCGATGGTCTGCTCACGTACCTTCCTCTGGCCCACATTCTCGAGTTCGTTTTCGAGCACGCCGCTCTCTGGTGGGGTTCCACTCTCGGTTATGGAAATCCGAAGACCCTCTCTGATGCCTCGGTCCGCAACTGCAACGGTGACATCCGCGAGTTCAAGCCTAGTGTGTTGATCGGCGTTCCTGCCGTGTGGGAAACTGTCAAGAAGGGCATCATTGGCAAGGTCAATGCTGGCAGCCCCGTTGTCCGCAACCTCTTCTGGGGTGCCCTTGGCCTCAAGGAGAAGTTGATGTATGCTGGTCTTCCTGGCAGCGGTCTTCTGGATGCCGTCGTGTTCAAGAAGATCAAGGAGGCTACTGGTGGTCGTCTCAGACTGTGCCTCAGCGCCGGTGGGCCCGTCTCCAAGGAGACCCAAAAGTTCATCAGCTTCGCCATCGCTCCCATGATTATCGGTTATGGTTTGACCGAGACGACCGCCATGGGTACTCTCCACAACCCCTTTGAGTGGTCTGCCGATTCCATTGGTGCCATGACCGCGTCCGTCGAAGCCAAGCTTGTCGACTTCCCCGATGCCGGCTACTATGCCACCAACAAGCCCAACCCCCAGGGTGAGATCTGGCTGCGCGGTCCCACAGTGCTCAAGGAGTACTACGAAAACGAGAAGGAGACGGCCGAAGCCATCACCCCCGATGGCTGGTTCAAGACTGGTGATATTGGTGAGTGGGACAAGAACGGCCACCTCAAGATCATCGATCGCAAGAAGAACCTGGTCAAAACCCTCAACGGCGAGTACATTGCTCTTGAGAAGCTCGAGTCCATCTACCGGTCCGTACCTGTTGTCGCCAACATCTGCGTGTACGCCGATGCCGAGCAGGCCAAGCCCATCGCCATCATCGTTCCCGCCGAGCCAGCGCTGAAGAACCTGGCGGCTCAGCTTGGTGTTGAGGGCGATAGTATCGAGACGCTTGTGCATGATAAGAAGCTGCACAGCGCCGTCCTCAAGGAGCTCCAGGCCCAGGGTCGTGCCGGTGGTCTCTCGGGCATTGAGATCATTGATGGTGTTGTTATCGTCGAGGATGAGTGGACTCCTCAGAATGTAAGTTTTTTCTCGCACCCCTCCTTTTCATCTCTTGTCAGCTTACTAATCGTAAAATCAGGGCCTCGTCACCGCTGCCCAGAAGCTCAACCGCAGAGGCATTCTTGAGAAGTACAAGAAGGATGTCGCCAAGGCCTATGGCAAATAAATCTTGCCAGCTTGTGCACCATGTGAGGGTGATGGAACAAAAAAAAACTATGATACCAGGATACCACGGATATGAATGAGTGGGGTTGTTTGGGGAAGACAGGGAGAGGGGTTGTTGAGCTAACACTTTGTTTGTGTGTGACTACTATGTGTGACATTTGGGCGTCCAAACTCTCTCTCTTCTTTTTTTTTTTGGTTTGTTTTGTCTTTGTTTCCCGCGGGTTGCTGTTTGGTCGTTGTCTGCTTTTTTTCTGCGCTGGGTCGGGGTGGGAAACGAACGTATAGGAAAGATGTCTGTCACGAAGGAATGGGACTTGACTTGCGTTTTTCGGTAATGTTTTATGGATGGATGGATGGTCAAGAGTCGAGTTGAGGATTGCGAGGGAAGGGGACAGGGCAAGGCAGGACGGGGAAGATTATACCAATGCGAATGTTGATTTTGTTTGTGACGCTATCTGGGTGAACATATGAAGGAGTTTCCCATAATGGATGTCAATGTAGTCTATGACGAATGTGCTGCTTTTATCCGTTTGTATGTCTTTGACGCTCGCTTTGCCGGCCAAACGGGCATCAATCAATTGGCGTTTACCCAGTTCCATCTGCCCACAAGTATGGCTCTGGCCGGCACAATTCTCCAGCTGGGACTTTGCCTTTCAACGAACCTCAACATGACACCTGTCTGCCTCTGTTGTGAGGTAGCTGTATGACAACCCAACTCGGACATGTCTCTCTTATATATATACCACACTTTCTTGAAACCCAATCTTGGGACCCCCATCCCAAGTTGTTCACATCATAGCTCAGCGTCATTGATGCCCTCGATACCCTACCTGCATACCAAAATGGCACTTCCTACTCACATCAGTTCTTCGGAATACAACACATACACAGTCCATTTCCGCCTTCTCTGATGAACCTCTGTTGAGGATGACGTGGTGCTCACCCCGATAGCAGGCTCCTCACCGTGCCGTCGTCATTAGAGCCTCCTCCGACGCACCCGTTCAACCGCTCCGACGCAACCATAGCCTGGGAGCCCGTCCGGGCCAATGTCTATGTCTTGACAACACGTACAAGATGAACGACAAAGCCCTTGCACTCTCCCAGGCCGTCACCGTCGCGCAATCTCGCCGGCATTCGGATTCATTCGAGATGAGCTTTGGAGACAATCCTTCGCGTGACCCGTCCGAGGGCAACCCAAGAACCTGAAGCCCTCCTAAAGGCCACTGCTACTCCGTCAGAAAAAGCGAGAGCGCCAAAGAGACCGTTGCGCGAAGAGTGGTTCGACTGGTTGATGGGCCAGCAGGTTGACTCGCTACCTGTGTGGACAGAACCAGACCAGACAGGCAAACCCCAAACGACCTAAAGAAGATTTCACCAAGACTAGGGCACCATCGTCTCAGTTTCGACACCATCTTTCGTGTGTATTTTGGAGATGCCCCCCTCGAGAGTAGTACATTGGATTCCCGGGCAACCAACCACCAGCGGAAACTTGCCAATTCGCCCCTTCTCCCAGCTGAGTGGAGAGACTTCAGTATTGAGCAACTACTTGAATGCGGGATCATCAAAACCTCCGATCCTGTGTTTGGCCCACTGGAAGATGAGGTTTTGCTTTTGACCAGTTTGTCAGAACGATTCAGATTCCATGCCAGATAGGTACCTACCTTGCTTGGCGGATTGAAGAAGGGGTTGTCGCGCGCCTGGCTGGTGGGTCTCATTGAGTTTTGAACCGCTTTCCTCAGCAGCAGGGTATGGAGCTATACGCTGTGAGTTTGGACGGTGACATCTCGATTTGATGCAGTGTTGGCTGACTGAACTAGGTACACAGGCGGAGGAAAACACCAACGATCGGCGAGATACCCCCATACCTTAGGCTCATCGAAGACAGGACGACCTGTCAGATCTAGGCTCTGGCCTCCTTCAGTGCCGTCGCAGAGCCTCTCAGTCTGGTGTGCAGGATACCTACAAGGGTGGAGAGTTTTGGTACACCTGGACTGTCCAACAGACTAATCATTTGATGTTTCTCCTGATCGGATACCTACCCAGACCTATGGGCATATTTTGCCGTTTGGGATACCTTGTCGTCGATGTCAAAACTGGCGCCTGTGTCGTCAGATATCCCGTGTGCTCCTGGGACCCAGAACAACATGAAAAACACGGGCAGCACCTCGTTGACCAGTGCCCAACCTTAGCAATGGACGAGGCGAGAACCTAACTCACTCGACTTGAGATGGACACACAAATTACCATATCCTATAGGTTAGAACCATAGCTTGAATCTCACTTCGGGTCATAGACTGACTGTTTTGCGGAGACACCCTTCCCACCTTCCTAGTCTCTTAGCTCTTCCCTGGACACCAGTTCACAAGTCTCTATATCAAGGAGACTGAGAATTACCCGGACTTTATGTCCAGGTGGACACCGCGACACGCGAATTCTTGAAGGTAAGGGCGCTACACTTGGTCATGTTCCCGTGTGTCTGCTGACATCTGAGATTGTAGAGCTCGAAAGCGGCAGTCGGGAAAAATCACGGAGCCGTCGGACACTCAGAGAGATACCTACCACCTGACCTTATTGACGAACCACCTCATTACCTTTGAGCTTGAATAGCACCCTGTGGGCACCTGCAAGGCCCACCTTTCACCAGACCCCACACCTGGTGTTTGCTTTATGGCTGTTTTCCCGTTTACTTTTTACACTCAGAACTTAACAACTACAACTCTGTAATACTGTTTTTTGATCAGTTTTCACCTGTTTCGTGACCTCACTTTCGCCGGCAGCGACTTTCCTAGGCCGCTGCCCTACACACCCTCCACGGATCCTTTGCTGGCCAAAAACATCGACACAATTGTGGCTCAACATTGTGGGAGACGACTTGCCTGGACTTTTCTTATATATATTCACACACCTCAAGAAGAACGACCGCGGAGAGATTCATCCCTTGCTCAGTTTCATCTTACCTGTATTACCCATCGCCAGCTACTCAGTACAGGCACGTTCTAGAAAGCGGATCGACATGATGGAGAGAACGTATCCTCGCCCGAATGTGAAGCCAGCTAGCCGCCACTCCCTACCACCAGTCCGGCATGAATGCTGCTGTCTTCAAGAAGTGAAAATCACATGTTAAACGGACAGCCACCACGGCCAAGAGAAAATTTTACCCTCATCGACTGCCGGCGCTATCCTACCACACCAAGGCTCTGGCCCTCCGGCACTCCAGCCATGGAAGTTTACAGTGTCCAAACTGCGCCGGGCTGACTCGAGTTGAAGACCAAGGACAACGTTTTGCTCCCAGAGTACCCAATCCCCCGGGAAACCATTCACGATTGGATGCGCGAACAGCTTAAGTGATCTCGGGATCCCAACAACCTAGGGGACTTCGATTGGACAAACCACCAAACCTTTCTCCCTGGCTTTCTCTCACAAGCGCCGACTGTCCGAGCAGCAAACCGACGCATGTTGTGGGGGGAGTGTGAACAAATTTCATCGGTCGTCGTTCAATCCTTGCCCGCAAAGATGACGGACCAACGTTCGATCAAGGCCACACGCTCAAACGTTTGGCTTCTCTCGGCGTCATAGGTCGTGCGGGTGTTTTATATATATATTCCTCTTTTTACAGAATGTGCTGGGAATTGCTGTTTGACCTCTGCTTGGGGTGGGCTTTGGTGGTGGTGGTGGCGATGAGGTGGATGTGTGCGGGAGCAGTCGAGAAGTTCATGCCAGCTTCGCTCGTCGTAAGCTCGCTCGATACTCCATCACCGAGCCGAGAGCATCGCGATTGTCATGCGACCAATCCTCCTGTCCCGGTATAGCGCTGTCCTTCCAGAAGATGATCCCAACAAGCCCGAGTCGTCCTTTTGCTGGAGTTCTCATTCCGGGAGCAGGTGCTAATGGGGGCGAAGCCGTGGAGGTTGGGGATGATGGCAGGGGTGATCTGCCGGTTTGAGGGCCATGAGTACGGCGAAGTGCCTGGCGGTGGTACACGTTGCTTTTTCTGCAGACGGTGCCAGCGAGGGGAAGATTTCAGTGAAGAGGAGTCGCAACAACGATTATATATATCCCTTTTTTCGAGAAACTTGACTTGTTCTCCCGTCGGGCCAGAAAGAATACCCAGATGACCGAGGAGCACATTTATACCTACCGTGTTTTGGTCCCAGGGACCATCACCATCAACCCAGACATTGGCGACACCTACCTACCAAGCCATTCACAGTCGAACAAACCCAGCCGGAGCAGATGACGAAAACCAGCTGATGACACCCTACTACCATGGATGGGAACAACTGTGTCACCAACTGGTATCCATGGTTTAAGGCCGTCTCCCGGGAAGGACAACGCCAGCCACTATGCTTGCCACCTTGGAGTCCAGAGCGAGAAAAAAGCCGGATGACCCGACTGCGCAGCCCATGGAGACTTTGACTATGTCTCTGGGCCTGCGGGATATTGCCTGGTTCAACAGTCACGACAACCAAAGCCTCCCCAACCCATCCTTGGGTTCCATGACTTTTTGACATTACCTCTGCCTGGATCAGACTCCCCGCACTCATGAGTTTGAATGGTACTGTTAAAGAAAATCGATCCAAACTTGTGTCTACCTAGTTGTCATGACCCTGCCGGCATCAACCCGCTTCAGCGACTCGAAGGGATGACCGGGGGCCAGACAGGGAAATACACCTGTTGCGCTGGGATGAACCTTCAGGCTCAGCACCTGGACTGCTTTCAGATAAACCACCTACCCTAGTGGAATGGGCTGCCCCTACTTCGGGGACGAAACCAAAGAGCAACTTCACCTTCTCTCCGGGTCCGAGTCGCCCGCAAGGGGATTGACCAATCTACCTACCTCTTGCCCCGCGTGCATGTCGTCTCTCGCGGCAGCGCTTCTTTTCACCCGAGAGTGATGCTGGCAGCACGTGGTGGCAACTTCTTGCGCCCAAACATACCTGGTAAAGAAGTCAAGAAGGCTCCTTGGCCATGGGGACCCACCAACAAGATTCAAGCAGAATATTCAAAACCAAACAGCGTGGATGATGGCGAGCAGATACAGCCATTTGACCGGCTTGGGAGCCGGCACCCTCGACGACGACGACGGGATTTTGAAGTTATGTGGGTCATTTATTGTTGGACGGTGTTCGTGATCGAGGCTTGTTCGGAATGTTTCAAGAGAGAGATGACTTGGTTGTTGGAGTTATGAGTTTTTTTGCGATGTAACGAACAGAGTGGCTTGGACCTGCTTCATAATATTTAAGAGGGTGGTTGAGAAGGGGTAGAAGACAGGGAGATAAGGTGGGAAGTATGGAACACCTTATATATAGATCGTCCTGTTCGAATACTGACTTTTGAGCTGCTGAATATTTGCTTATAGATAACTTGATCATCCATCACACATACTACATACATTACCACATGGTTGATCTCTTTTCCTTGCCCACTAATTCTGGTCACCACAGCTGAATACCTATTTGCCTACCTACACATCATAAGGTCGACATCAGACTAGCCACACGACAAATCACCGGAGTTTGGCCCACCATATTCTCGACAGCAAAGGGTGCAAAATAACAGAAACATGATCTCTGCCAGGTGATAATTCAAGAGCTCGCCCTGCGGCCCACATCACACCGCTGCATCGCAGCCGTCAAGTTGGAATCATGCCGCCCAAAGCAAGATCTCCATCCGACTGGTCCAGCTAACAGCCGAGGTCTGGTACCCCTACACTAACAGGTTCGGAAAGGCATACCTTCCGCCTTCGTGATGATCACGGCCAGTAACCAAGCGGATGCCCCGCCGAACGATCCTGATCATATCACCTTACAAGACACGGCCAACCTGAGCCAACGGGCATTCATGTTAGTAACAGGACGAACCGATATACAGCCAACAACAACATACCGGTAATTGATATATCTACAGTCAAAGCTACATGCTTTATGTCAACATTCTAGTAGAGAAGTGGGAGGTTTGGGTGAGGTTGAGGAGGAGGGGTGATGGTTTGGTTGATGATGATGTTGCCTCGGGAGGCAAAGTCAACGCCTCAAGGCCCATTATCAAGCCGGAAGCATCTTTCAATCACCCCAAAAACACAGCTCGCAGGTCATGACATCTATTAATGGAGTGTAAAGCTTTAAGTGGGTATATAAGCGAATGGACCTACCTACCGTCTTGTCCGTTGCCGGGAGAGTCAGAGTCTTCCCGCCGCCCCGTCAAAGCAGCGAAGAGCCCACTGAAGCATGCTCTCCTAGGTACCAACCTGGCTCTCTTCGAGGTGCTCCGAAAGGGACCCGACAATGAAGGTGGTACTCTCACGAGGGAGTTCCGTTCGCGGGGTTCTGTCTTTCTCGACGTTTCCAAGCCCGAAGAGCGCCGCCTGTTGGGTCCAACCTACCTTACCCTCGCGCTCAATGATGGAGCGCGCAGACAGGACCGCCGCAGCCCCTGAGGAGGATATCATGTGTGCGTCTGCGAGTCTGTCCTCCACATCAACCAGGAGAAGGCCGACCATCTGTTCCGAGAGCGCTGCTTCCCCTGCAGACGAAGTAAAGGGCACCATTTCAAGGGCATGTTAGGCCCGACATCCGGTACCAGGTGTCTCCCAGTTGCAGGTGGAAGCTGCTGGAAAACGCCTTTGCGTTGCTTTGACCAGAGCCCGTTTGGGGGAGAATTTGATGGTGGATCGATCGGTGGCTGCGTCGGACCATTTTAGCTCCTGTCTTTCCACCTTGAGATCCCCATCCTCCTTTCAACCGCCTGCTCGTGGCCACTGAGCAGAAGGCGAGGGCTGGCGCTACCAGACCAAAGCCAGTCTTACTCACAGCCGGGTGAGATGCTCAAGGTGACTCGTCAGCATCCTCGACAGTCTTCCCATCGAACCCACCAAAGCAACGCCGACCATCTATTCGACCTGTTTCCCCCCGAACAAGACTCGGGACTACTTGCAAAGCTGCTGCTGCTTCCTCACGCAAGAAGACCACAGGAATACACAGGGCACCTGCCGGCAACCCGTCTATGAGTTGCCCTAACCCGCGTCAGGCACAGGAGAGCTCAGTCTGATTGATCCGTTACTGGCATGAACCAAGCCTTTCAACTCTTGTCTCTCGTCTAGACGAAAAAGCTGGAGGCAAGCTGACTTGTAACCCTACGAGCGGCTGGTAGATCAGAGAGAAAGGTGAACGAAGAAACTCGAAGAGAGCTGGACGGGAATGATGTCGACAGGAAGAGGAGCTAACCTCAATGATTATTGGAGATGCGAAATGAGGCTATCATGTCCAAGATACAACAAGAGCTGTCATGTCAAATCATGGACCTGGAAAAAGATAATTGATAGCGTCGAATGAAAGCAAGCTTGCCCATGATCTCTCCCCAAAGCGTTGTCGACCAACCTCCCAAAGCCACTGACCATCTTTAAATCCAGTGCTTCGTATCAGTCACAATGTCTATCCATCCACGAAACACGATAAAAAACATCTCCAAAACAAACAAATGGGTATTTAATCCTACTTCTAACCCTTCGCTAGCCAGATCAAGGCCCATCGGTCATAAACCTACCCTAATTTTCCCAACCTGAACGCCCATCACGATACCCCCAAAACAGCCCATGCAAGTGATTTGACTACCTTATATGTAATCATCAACCAACTCCCAAATCTGCCACGTCATCTTAACGCCCTGCTCCGTAATAATACCATCAATCAGCTCCGGATCCGTATAGTCCACCTCATCACTCTCCTGAAGCAGCTGCTCCTTAACCAGCTCATTGTTCAGATCCACGCCAATATTCTCAAAGCGTGTGATATCCCTCTGCCTCACTCCCATTTTCTTCACGATTGGATACGCGATCGGCGTCTTCCTCACAATCTTGTGCGTCTCTGCCGCGACATAAAACCTCTTCATTCCTCCGGGGATGGCTTTTACCAAAGCTGCCAGCTGAGCGGTGCCCATTCCGGAGATGATACCTCCATTCTGCATGATGGCCTCTGTCCCCACCAGAACAAGGTTGATCTTCTTTTGGTTGGCAAGAACATAAGCGACCTTGTTGGGGACGATTGTCTCGACTTCGAGGCCCGCTTGGCGGAGCTCATCCACGGCCGCTTGGGAGCGGGTGTTGGTTGGTTCGGTAATGTAGATTACTTTGAAGTGCTTTGACTGGTCTGTCGCCGCCCTCAGAAGAATCTTGGTTACTGTTCTTGACCCGCCAGCGGTGAGGACAATCTTCTCGTCTGAGACGTAACGGGCGCCCCAGATGGCGATGTTGTCCCTTGCTGCTTGGGCACGCTGAGCAAATAGTTGCTTGTTGGCTACGAGATGCTCGCGAGTCTGGTCGAAGGACATGGGCTCGGTCAGGTTGGAGCTGGAGGATGCTGCCGGTGGCGGCCTAAGCGACCGGAGCAGGAACTGCTCGAAGAGATCTGCGCCTGCGAGGATGGGGAGGGGGTTCGGGGCCGAGGCGAGGAGGAGGGCCTTTTGGTGCTTGACCTTTTCGACGAGCTCCATCGAGGTTACGTAGGGGGTTATGGAGAGGAACTCGATTAGGGACTCGATGGCGGCAATGGGCATGGTGATTTCCCTGTCTGACGACAGAAGGCTGCGGTAGGTCGCGACGATGTCGAAGTCTTCATTTTGGGGCTTGGGGTGGACTGGGAGGTCCGTAGAGACGGGCTTTGTTTCTTCGTCGGTAGCCATGATGTCGTGGAAAATGTGCTGGTAGATGAGGCGGTAGAATGTATGGAGTGAGAAGGGTGGAAGTGGGATGCGTCTAAGCATGCGATTGTTGGTGTTAAGTCTGTGCTGGGAAGGGTCTGACTCGAGCTAAGATTTGGCAGGGTTAAAGATGCACGTTTCAGGGCCTCGAGGGTTCTCCAAATTTAATTCATCAAGGTTCTTTCCATTTACGGTTTCGATGACTCAATGGGAAGCTTCGTCCATTGACAGGTCGAAATGCCACGTCTGACCGCCTGCCCCGCCATGGTGCACCCCGCGGTGAGGGGCCTTATCTTATCAGAGTGTAAGCCAATCAGGTGGCAGGACTTAGATACAAATTAAGAGGCCCGTTGGAATTCTCATTTCCCAACACCACCCAAGCTCATCATACCTTCATCTCTTGATCTACTTATGCCTCCTGCTGTGTCTGTTTCCTCGGCAGTAACTGCTGGCCTTTATTACGCAGGAGTTCATCGCGCTGTTCGATCAAGTCTTTATGGATATTGTGCAACCTACCGTGATTTGGTCAGCATTCAGAGAACCATGAAACAGCACACAGTACAGTATCTAGGGGTTCTTACTTCCACACGACCTCTAGAAAGAATTCTTCAAGTTTTGTCTTGTCAACACCTGGTGGGTCTCTCGACTTGAGGCAGAATTTGACGGCGGAATAGAAGTCGCTTCCTGCTTTCTTCGCCCTCTTGTTGTCTTCATCGTCGTCGTCGTCAACCAAGACATCGTTGAAAATCGGCCTCAATTCTTCGAGCGATTTCTTGACTATTGGGTCCGAGGTCGAAGAGTCGTGGTATCCGAAGAATATCGAGTTCACGTCAACAACAGCCTTGTTGACCTGGATTTCCTGTAACGGGCGTCCCAAGCCAATCTCGACCAAGATCAACCCCAGTGAGAAGAGGGGGTATCTTTGCAGACTCGAGGCCACATTCTTGTCCTTTAGATCATCGCTCAGCTTCGACTGGCACCAACATGGCTTCAACGTCGCGGTCCCATTGCCCGACCCATTCGGTGTGGCTGGTGCCGCAGCGCAAGCCGCTGGCGGCACATCCTTGTCGTCACTGCTAAGGCCTTTAACCGCAAACAGATACCGCTGGTCGACGAGGAACGTGCTGTTGGTAGTAGTGTCGAGAGACGAAAGGTCATACTCCTGGATATTGCAGCTACATACCCAACTCATCCACTTGGACTTGAAAAAGAGCAAGCAGAACTCGGAAATGTGGAAAGCTCGCTTCATTTTCCATATTTGATGATCGATCTTGCGTACTGGGTCGTCCAAGGACTCCCTCGCTGATTGCGAGCTTAGTTGGCTGCGCAGTGATGTAGGCTCTGGTAGGTTGCCAACGACGTTCTGAAGCTCTTCTAGCTTCATGGTTACGCGTTGACCTTTTGTTACCAGCTCGAGCCCTGCTTCACCGCCACCCGCATGACCGGAAACGACGTCGAAGGCTTCGGAGAAAAGCGTCTTGCATCTCTCGGGCACACGAGCTGGGTCTGGGGTAAGGCGAATTCTTTTTCTCCTATTCATGTAGTCTGGTTGGCTGACTAGGAGAGTGTAGCCGAGGCTTTTGGTCTGAGATGCTTCTGCAATCACTTGCGATCTTGGTTCTACCCCGTCATGCGGGCGCTGGCGAAAGAAGAGGTCGAGCTCGATATCCAACTCGAGTTTTCGTCCCCTACCCAAGCAGCAGTCCCGAAGCTGGTTGGACGTCAACCACGTGTGCATGGCAAGCTTCACCAGGTGGTGCTGGTGTCCAAACTGATGCAGAGCCGAGGTCTCGGGTGGCCGTGGTTCTTTTTCTCCAAAATCTTGACGTCTCCAGAGACGCCAGTAGGCCTCGTCGCTCATCGTATCCAGGCCCAAGACGAGCGTGTCAAGGGTTTCGAGGATTCTGTTTATGTTGCCTCCCGATCGGAACAAGACATCCCGCCCCTTTTTCCTAAAGACACCGAAACAACCTCCTCCCCGGTCAATCCTGCGAGTGTTGAGCAGCTTTTGCAGCTTGGCCACCTCGTCTTGGATACACTTGACGTGCTCTGTTATTTCAGAAGCGGAAGAGCCCCAGAACTTGGACTGCAGGCTTCCTTGCTGTCCCGCCTCCTCGGAATACACCATCCACCGCCATTGCCACTTTTCTATGTTTTTTATGATCTTGAGCAACTTCACCCAGCGAGCGCGGTCGAAGAATTCGTAGTTCTTCCAATCGGTCGCGTCGGAAGCGAGGGACGGGAAGGCATCGCGGAAAGTTGTGATGATACTAAGGATCGTCCCAAAGAGTGAGATTGCCTCCATTGCGCCTCGCGAATGACCTTGGGCTGATTAGACCGAAGCCTATTGCCCCAGGTCACTCTATCGTGTTCAGATGGGCTGAATTGGCTTTCCTAGGCTGAGCGTCGGCGGTATTTCGGGTTACTGCTGGAGAGGTGCATAGATCGAATGGCGGGTCTGGAGCACAGGGTGGAGAGCGAAGTGAAAGGCACGCAAGGCCTCACCTTCGTCGAGTTCGCAATTCGCGATGATGGCGATGGGGGCACGCGGAGGCGTAGTACTGTCCCAGGAGAAGTTCTCCGCCAGAACAGAGCGTGACGGTCGCATGAAGAGAGGGGAACACCCCATGCGCCAGATTTCCCTGAGGTGTGGCCGAGGGATGCGCCAAAGGCAAGGCTGGGAGTAACACAACCAAGTGGGTGGCCTCTTATGTGTTGTCGCTGCCCAATTTGACCTATAGCCGCCAACATGAGCTGCGATGGCTGGAGCGGTCCAGTGATTCCTGCGGCACAGTTGCATGAATGCACCTGGGCTATGGTCAATTGAGGTTCGCTGATTCGCATTCATTGGACGGAACGCCTGCAGCTGAGCATCGAGACCCATACTCACGACCATATCTGGTGTCGGTCGGTCAACCTTGCTGCCAGCCTGCATTTGCGACGCTGGCATTGCAAAACCGACATGGGATCACCCCTCGCAATCAGTTCTCCAACGGCGCCGACGTCAAGGCTTTCTGCCCTCTGTCTACATTCGCCTCGAATATCTCCAGCTCCGCGTCTGACGTCGCTGTCGGCGACATACGACTCGACCTCAGCAATCACCCTTGTGGTTCACTCTGCTTTTGTGTAGAAGATTAGAATCTAACACCACAACATGGCTGAGGCCGATGGCGTCGGCATCGCCGCCATTATTCTAGCTGCTGGCGCATTCATCGTCTCGGTCGTTTTTCTTGCCGCCCATTTGTTTTCTAAACCCACCGGCTTCGACCACTGGGACAGCGGAATGATGGGCAAATGGGCCGACTACAGAAAAACGAAGACTTACGGCTTGTTATCCTTCTCGCGGGGACGACGGACCGTGACAGAAGCTGAGCTACCGGTCATCTTCCTCGCTCCTCGCAACAATGCGCGCGGCCCTGTTCAAGGCAAGCCGATCTGGTATATCGATGGCTCGCGCCAGAGCTGTGAGGATACCAGAGTGATCTACGATCCGGACCCTGGCCCCTCGAGCTTCGGAGATAAAAAGATTCATACAGTTCATAACGAGCGGGCGTCTTGGGTGAGGTTGCTGGAGACGATTCAAGGGATGGAGAGAGACTCGATAGCCTGGGAAATGGACATGTGGCGCAGTGTTGAAGGGGTCAATGCTGGTGGGATTTCGAGGATATCACGCAATTTTGAGTTTCCGACTTTGGCTGTCGGCGTCCAAAGTACCATCCGCACATTCGATGAGACGTCCGTTTTACGTCGGCCTTATGCCACGACAACCATTACCCACCTGATCGAGCTCACGGCGACATTAGGCCTCTACTGGAAGAGGTTTGACCAGGACGAGGATGTGTATCGAGCGGAGGGAAATGGAATGAGCATCCACGGATACCGAGTGCGCGAGTTTGGTCTCGTCTTTACGTTTGCAAAGACGGGCATCACGAACTTCAGGAACCATCGCGTGATCCCGACGGAGGAAGTAAAGGAGCTCTGCTATGGAAACGTACCAACGATCTATCGCCTTCGAGACTGGGAGGATAAAACTCTGCGTAATCCTGATGCGACCAGGAGGCAGAAGGAGCTCAAGACATTGCAGCTAGGAAGCCGTCGAGAGATCGCTGCGACACTCTCTCTGATAGGATGCGACAGCAACACGATTGAGCATTTCTCGAAGGGACATTCCCGACAAAACCACTTTTTCCCAAGTATTTAGCCTCACCCCTTTACTTGAAGTCAATGCTAATCCGGTGATAGTTATTTTCGAGCTTCTAGGAATGCTCGGCCGCACTCTCCATCAAAAGGACCGTTGTTACACCTATCTTCCGAACCCCACCATATATGCCTGGGAGACGAGGGCTTTCTCATTGAGGTTACTCCTCACGGCCTTTTCCCATCATCTTGATACAATTGCTGCACGGGACGACTCGAAGCGGACGTCGTCCGACCTGGAAGTATTAGCCGAGCAAGCGGCCATACTGAGAGAAAGCCTGCCCCCTACAAAGGACGAAGGCTATGACCCCAAGCAACTCAATGTCCTGAATGACTCCATCAGCGCAGCCGACGCCATCCTCGCGGCGGTTCCCAAGCCGCTGGTTCTAGATGTGATTCAGCGACACATCCATACCGTGCATTCGGCCCTCAACCCAGAGCATGGCGAAAAGCCTATCCGCTCGCTCGTCAACCTACTCAATGCGCCACGCGGCGAGCGCGAGGCGGAATTCATGGCAGCCTACTTCGATGACGTCCGCCCAATAGTCACAGACATTGGCTTACCAGACCCGTCCCGATTCCTGTGGGCTCGGCTGGAAGAAGGCGCCAGCTTCGACTCCAACGGCGAGAAAACACGCCAGATCGAAGCCGAGTTGCGGCAACCGGCGGGCGACAAACCAGCACCCACACCCCGGCTTGCTCGAGACGACACGGAAGCGAGGATAGACCCGGGGCGGAACACGGTGTGGTGCACGCTGGTATTTCGGATGATTTGCTGGCTGCTGCTGCATAACTTTGATCAGAACGATGTGCAGATGCCAAAGAGTGAACTGTTGGGGAGTCGGTTGCCAGTGTATATTATTTAGGTGAACGGTTTTGGATATTTCAGGGTTGGATACCTATTCGGATTAGACGTCTATAGACGTCCATAAGTGACAGCTTCACAAGCACCCTTTACAGCTCGAACTGCTGCTATCTGTGACTGCCTGCCCAGCAAACAATGGGCCGGCCTATGATGTTCCGCTACAGCAGTTCGTGATCCTAGGTCTAGAAAGGGCGCAGTGAGCTTCGTGTCCAGGCTTCGTTTCTGAAATAGAAGCACCTTGGTCGCAGCTAGCCTGAGGAGTCCAAGGTACGTTACACAGCTACTGCCATGTACGTCGAGGGACAATGCCCTTCTTACAGACTCGAGGTCCAACAAAACGCGGCACATATAACACAATGCGCATTCATATGTGACTCGTCATCATGTAACTGAAGAAGCATAGCCGCTCTTTCTCACCTGTTCTCCACCTAGGACTTTGACCTCTCACCGGGACGCTCCGACGATTAAAGCGGGGCACCGAGCTAGGCAACGGGAGCAAGCGGGGTGATGTGCATGGGGAGAAAGCTTCCCCAGCCAGCATCAGATCCAGGGTCCCGCTTGCATAAACAGGGGCCTTGTTTCAGGGTCCTTTTGTGTCTGGGATATATATATCATTCCAACTTATCCCATCTTTTGACCTCAGCGCTTGACAACAACAACAACTATCTCTCCAACAGTGTTTGCTCACCCCCTCTCACCCAATATGGACCCCGCCACCACCATCGACCCCGCCACCGGCCAACCCCTCCCCCCAGACGCCATCGTCCGAGTCCTCCGTTCGTTTGATCCCCCCTCTCCCCCTCCCTTTGCATTGCCGGGCTTATTTAATGTGAATAAAGTAGAGATGGCGGAACGATAATTGATTCGTGGTGATACCACTTCGATGTGTTTGGCC